CTACTCTAATGCAGTTACAAAAAGCGCCTAACTACGTCAAGCTGTTCGCTGGCTTCTAAATTTCCTTTTCTAAGATTAGCACGAGACGAAGAAATATGTGATTTGTGATTGTTTGAGCATCAGCGGCCAAAGGAGACAACCAGAATTTGCTGAAGTCAGTGAATGTTTGTATACCGTCAGTAGAACTGCGCATTGAAAAATACTTACTCTGTGATGAGTTTTCATTTTATTCCTTGTCGCATCGTAATTGCCCAACTGCCTTCGAGAATTCCCATAGAACTGGTCGTCGACGATGGTATCATTGGTTCGTTGCTTCTGGAGCTGTTGTTGTTTAAGCAGTTGCTTATATCGTCGTCGCTGTCGTTCCGAATGCCTCAAACGATGATAGGCAGAAAGTTCTGCAAGGAGAAAAATTATTGTAGAACTTCATAAATTTCTAAAATATGCATTATTGTGACATGATGTTTGCAAGTTTTTGCAGCAATGTGCTTTTGACTGTGACTGAATAGTTAAAATAAAAAAAGTGCTGAAATTTAGCGACAGCAAAGTAAACATCACTGAGTGGTGCAGAACAATGTCAGTCAATTTTCGATTTGTTTGTGGTCCTTGACTCTAAGTACGTCTTCTAACTAGTATCATAAAACAAGATTAAACCTGGTGCAAAATATAAATTACAGAAGCAAGCCACGTAATGCAGGATAAAACTTAAGGTTTGAGCCTTTACATTAACCTGTAATCAGCAGCATCGGATGCAGGTACACTACAAGACACTTTGATGGCTACATTTTAAAGTTAGCAAATTTAGCTCCCAGGCATGTGTGGTTCTCACGCACGGCCCCATGAAAATTTTTGGCGGGAAAATTTCCCTGGAAGGAGGGCAGCTGAAATTTTAAGGGGATGCCCCCAGTTTCCGCGAAAGCTAAAAATATCAAGTTTAGCTCTCAGTTATGCATGATTCTCATGTGCGGCCCCGTGAAAATTTTTGGCGGGAAGGATTGCTAACTTGGCGATTAGGGAACTTGCGACGCTGAAATTTCCAGGGAATGTTTCCAGCCCATGTACAACTTAAATTTATGAAATTCTGCTCCCAGACATGCGGGGCCTCGTGAAACTTTTTCGCGGGAAAATGGCTTACTCAGGGACCAGGAAGCTGGGAGAATGAAATTTTGAGGGGATTTTTCCTGTCCAACTATCACATAGACAATTGACTTACCGGACTTCAAGAAGCAGTATGTCACACTTTTCTAGCTACTGGGTTTCTGAGCGACCTCACTACAGTACGAAATACTGCAAAAACGCATGATCGCACCGATCCGCCCGCTGCGCGTCGCCAGTGATTTCCAGTGTGGTCCGTCACGCCGTACTACAGCGAACTCGGCAAATGGTGATTCGGTTAAATTTACACCCGCCACCTAATAGACACTTAATAGCAATTCGGATCGAAAAAAGACATGAACTTGAAATTTTAGCCATCTACAACAGCAGGATAATTTGAAAGATTTGTAACGAAGCCAAGGTGAGGACTTTGTGCAGGTGCTTCTGTTTTGTACTGATGTAGCATCAAAATTAAGGGGAGGAAAATCAAAATCATTAGCCTTAAAGCTTAAGTTGCACAGAGAGGTAAAATTTTCATGAGGATCATAGAAAGCAACTGGGAGTTGCTAAACAGCATCGAAAAATAAATTGATGCAAGTGCTGAATTTAAGATGAAAAGCTAAAAGAAAGTGATGCTTTAATACATACCAAAAATACCAAGATCACCAAAATGAATAACAACCATGTTAGTGATATTTTTTGAATGTTAACTTTACTTATATCAGGCCCTTCAATCCTGGACAGCATATCTCTAAGTAGTACCTAGCATCTATTCGAGGTATGTACG